TAAAACTAGTTCCAACTGATTTGCCGGGCATGGCAGTTGAGAAGAGTGATTAAGGAGAACGTCTTTCAGATGTATTCAAGGTGTTGTTTATTTCTGCAAGAAGACATTCTACAATCTGTCTCTTCAGTCATCTTCCTCAGGAGTGCATTTGTCTTATGTATTTTTTTGCTCTTTCTTGAACAAAACATTAGTTTTTGTCTGCGCTGCATCTTATTGGGATGACATTTTGCTAACAGTGTAGCTCTCTGGCGGATGTTCACGGTGAAGTTTCAGTTGTTATGTTGTTATACTTGTTTCTGCTGTGCATGCAGCTTGTTTCTTACCTTCTTATTACATTCTGCTTCAGGTTTGTTAACATTTCTGAAAAGCATACATGTTAGTGTCTGGTTTGTTTTGTTTTTTGTGTTTGTTTTGGTTAGTACAATGATGTGTGTCAGATATAGAAAATTGTGATTAAGAAAAAACACATTTGAAAGCCTGGGGAGGGGGGGACATACGGGATTGTCGGAAAAGGAGTGGGACATGTCCGCTCTGTCGCCCAGTGGACCAATCTACCCCATCCGGCAGTGGGTGTAACTTTGGTTTTGAGAAGTGGGGGGGAGCACAAAACAGTTGTCTGGGGGCCTTCCGCAATAAACCTTTCTCGATCATGTAATGCGGCCATTTCCGTGCATTTCTACCATTCTAGGGACTATGGTGATAAAAAATACAGGCAAAAAATATAGCTTGGCCATCAAAGATAAATTCTGCCAGAAAGAAAAAATACTAAAATACTTTATAAAGGAAAGCAGCTGTCATGTACTTTCTTAATGTTTATTATTGGCCGATAGCAACACTCGCACGAGATACATCATTTCAGCAAAGTCAAAACATTTTCAGGAATTAAGTTTTTGTGTGATTAAAATAAAAATAATGTGAGATTCCACTTTGTTTTTTCTTCTTCTTTTATTTACTGGTCATACAACAAAATGATTCAAATATGACCAAGAAGGAACCAAAACAGGTAAAAAAATAAAATAGAAAAAATGTAAATAATAAAATAGGATACTATCAAGAATCAGAGGTATTAAAAAAAAGACAACCAAACAGAATTATCAATACATATAAACGAAAATTCACAACCTCACTCCTTCAATCCCATCCTCCATGTGTCCTATACTGACACAACACACATCTCAGCAGAACCAAACACATGCTTCCTGTACAACATCGCAAGGATAAAAAACCACAACTGGCAAAATCATTTTCCCTGTTGACTTTATCCCAGCACATTCCTAAAACAGACAACACACTTGTTAAAGCGAATTTCTGCATCATTGTACTCTCAGCCAGGTCTTCAACCTCCTCAGAGCACTGAAGCTCCTCTATGCTTCAGCAGAAGCTGCAGGAACAACCATAAGAAGCCGTGTAAGGGCTTCTACTTTGTTGAAAAGGCCACGGACTTGAGGCAACTGACTCCTCAGAATAGCTGCGGCCTCTGAAGTGGATTTGTATGGGTACTGGAGCTTATACATGTTAAGCTGCACCTTCAGTGACCTTTGGTTTAATTCAGGATACTGGTCCACCACTGTGGTGTCCAGCTCCCCAGTTAGGAGGACTTCCTCCAGCTTTGCCAATATTATCAGACCACTCTGATGAAACCTCTCCTTCAGCTGCATGTCCACAGTATCCAGCACCTTGAAGAAGTCAGCTCTGTAGTGTTCTTTTGGGGTTGTGGGTGTGTGTGCAGTAGTGTTGTTGCCAATAAAGCGTTTTGGTGGACGGCGGATGTGTGGCATGCTTATGGGCTCAATATTTAGCATGCAGATCTTCTCTGTCGCTTGGCTGTAAATCTCCTGGAACTTCTCCTCTGTTCTCTTTGCCCTCAGGGTGGTCCTAACACAATCTGCTGCAGATAGCATACCAGACACGGTTTCTGTCTGCTTCTGCAGTGTGCAATTAAGGCACTCCAACTCCTGAATTACTTCAGTGGCTAGCATGAGTCCTAACACTGTCGTACCTTTTCCGAATCTCTCCAGCAGCCCTCTTGCAGTCACACCAGTGTTTGAGGCATCTGTTTGGGCCATGTCCTCTAAGCTCAGTAGCACTGACTCGTACTGACGTAGCACAGACCAGATTGCTGGAGTCCTGGTAGTCCATCTTGTTTGACACAAGGGCTGTAGATTGCTAACTGTCCCTGATGCTGCTGTTGCAATGTTTATAAATTTAGTTTTGTATTTGCCAGACAATTTGTAGAGACATCCAAGCTTGTGGAGCCAATCCAGAGCATCAGATGTTAGGGATGAAGCCTTACAAGCAGCCTGGGTGACAAGATTTACACAGTGGGCACCACAGTGTACATACAAAGCCAGTGGCTGCATCTCCCTTACCCTGGCCTGTGCTCCCTTTCTGTCGCCTGACATGTTTGCTGCCCCATCATATGTTTGTCCACGCAGACCAGACAGCGGAAGATTCAAGCGCAGCAACACATCTGTGGCAACTTTTACTATGTTTTCCCCAGTTGTGCTTGAGACCTCGTAAAAACCAGAAGGGTGGCAGTGAAGGCAGAGGGTCTTGACGGACCAGACCCGGGCGACAGAAGCTGGCTTTGGGGACGTGGAACGTCACCTCTCTGGGGGGGAAGGCGTCGGAGCTTGTGCGGGAGGTGGAGCGTTACCAGTTGGATCTGGTTGGGCTCACCTCTACGCACAGCGTCGGCTCTGGAACCTTACTTCTGGATAGGGGTTGGACTCTATTCTTCTCCGGAGTTGCTCAAGGTGTGAGGCGCCGGGCAGATGTGGGGATACTCACAAGTCCCCGGTTGGGTGCTTCGTTGTTGGAGTCTATCCCAGTGGACGAGAGGGTCGCCTCCCTACGCCTGCGGGTTATGGGGGGGAAAACTCTGACTGTTGTGTGTGCTTATGCACCCAACAGCAGTTCAGAGTATACGGCCTTCTTGGAGACCCTGGAAAGAGTCCTGTATGGGGCTCCTGAAGGGGACTCTTTAATCTTGCTGGGAGACTTCAACGCACATGTGGGCAATGATGGAGACACTTGGAGGGGAGTGATTGGGAGGAACGGCCCCCCTGATCTGAACCGGAGTGGTGGTTTGTTACTGGACTTCTGTGCTAGTCATGGATTGGCCATAACAAACACCATGTTCGATGCTCATAAGTGTACGTGGTACCAGAGCACCCTAGGCAGAAGGTCCATGATCAATTTCGTTATCGTATCATCGGACCTGAGGCCGTATGTTTTGGA